TATTCCCCCGTGTATGAGGCCTTTGCAGTATCCCGTAGACCAGTTGCCGGTGTCTAACTTTTAAGAAATAGATCTGATTCATCATGAACGCGTATCTCCCCTGCCATACGTAGCTTCTCACTCCCCGCCAGAATCGCCGCGCAACGCCTACGACCTGATCAAACTGGAACTGGCTTACTTCGGCGCCAACCACTGGGAGCAACACCACGGAGCACCAAACGACGACGACATGCGGCTGGAAGGATGCCGTATCATTTTCGCTTCGGAATTATTGTCCCTGCAAGGTATTGCGACACAGAATTCGTGGCTTCGTGATCTCATCATGTCCAACGCGGACATCGCACAGAAGGCAAGGTTTGGTCCGTTACGTGGAGCCGCTGAAAGCAGACTTGCTTCCTTGAAGATTAACGGCAAGGACAACTTATTCGAGGAATGTCCTATGGAACGACAGCTGCATTCCTTTGTCACTGCGAAGCGGCTGTTGGGGCTGACGGCTATGGACGACGAGCTGCAGGAAGAAGCATGTAAGATTGTCGGTAGGGTGGAGGAAGTGTGCACCCATCCGTCTGAGACGGTTGCCAATTGGCTCCTACGCTTGGTTACCTCGTCGACTGAATGGCTAGAACCGTTTAGACGTCGGGCCAATTTGCCACGAAGTGAAGACGTCCAGCACCAAACCGTTCGGTCCAAGGACCCAACATCTATCGACTCGACTATCCACAGCCACTCTCGCTTGGAACGGGAGCTGGCAGATTACCTCAGGCAGCAGCGGTCTATTGGACATGAGCCAACGAATGAGGACCTGCAACGACAAGCTCGTATTATCATCTACGAGTTCGATGATGGATGGAACCAAACAGCTGCCGACAGTATTCACTGGCTTGAATCATTCAGAGATCGACACCCTGAAGGGGGTTCCCCCAATAACGCGCCTACCACGACGACAGACTCTTACCCTGCCACAACCACTGTAGCTAGTACCGGACCAACGTCGTGTCACAAATCACCGAAGTCCACTGACGAGCCCCCAAATCATTTGATTCAAAATGACTTTCAACATCTGCTCTCGATTGATAGGAACGGCAGGGCCATGCCTTTCTTTCTGAATGATGCCAATTGCTACCGGCGTCTAGCCAAGGAACTGAGACGTTGGGTTAAGTCGACCATGTCTCCCAACAACCCCAATCGGCACACCCCGACTGACGATGAGCTGCAATATCAAGCACGATGGATTCTATATGATGAGTAAGTCCACATGAGCGCATCCTATTACTTCTAACGAACTGGTAACCAACACATGACAGTGATGATCCTTGGAACCAGACCGCTGCCGACAATGCTGAATGGCTTCAACGATTCAAACGTGATGTTGGCATTGCTAAGGACCCAGGTCCAGGTCTACCAAAGGGCTACTCGTGGTCACTATCGCAAGGCGGATCGGGGTTTGCGCCGCCATATGCCTATCCCAAGGGCAGCGTTGAACCGTTCCTTGAAGACGTCGAAGTCAACATGCGTGATGGCGCCAAGCCGTTCAAAGCTGGACATGACGCTGCAAACCAGTTTTTGGAAACGTTGCTATCCGAAAATAGCCGCCCGGCAAATGTGTTTTGCTCTCGTGAGCTGGAGGCTGGGCTAGTGCAGTTTGTCAAGAAGAATGTTACAGATACTGGGCGCCTGCCTACGGATGCAGCCATGCAGATGCGTGCAAAGGACATTATCAACGCAATAGAGACAGCGGCCGATGACCCTGTCCTGCTAGAGAAGTTCAAAGCTTGGATGAAGAATCAACTGCCACACGCTCTACCCGCCGACGACGACCAGACGAGCCAGCAGCCTTCCTTGCTGCCCATGAATATGGACATGAATATTACCGACGCAGAGCTAGGCGATATATTAAACGACATGGACTTTGATTTTGATGTCAATACGTTGGAGACGGGTTTACAAGACCAAGATGAAGAGTCGGGTGGGGTGAGCCTTTTCCAGGAACCATCTGTCTACGAATAAACGGCCGGGTTATATTCACCATGCTGAAGCTAAAAGGGGGGAGGCCTGAAGTGGACTCGTCGATGTAACACATATCATAGGAAGGGCGCATACTCAACATATTAGTGTTTGGATACGTCATGGGTGGCAAAGGCGTTTTGTATTTCGTACCTAGCAGCACTACTAGTACCTACTAAGTAGGTAGTTAGCTAGCCGTGTTTTATCCCATAATTGGCTTTGAGTGAGTGTAAACGTGGTTCCAGGTCGACCGTCGGCCGGATCAATCGATGGCTCTGCTCATTGGCGCAATTAAACTTGCATGGCACGTCTGGAGATCACCATGCAATATCCAACATGGATGTCGCCCAACCAACCAACTGTAACCAGCTTGCCACCCTCCATCCACGCACCCCGCCGATTTGACCGGACGTCGCAGCAAGTAACTTACTCTGCAGCCTAGCATCTAGTTGAATCGGCCGCCCGACTCGATGGCGACGCCGCGGCGCCGCTAAGGCCGACAAGGGCAGGAAGGTTGTTGCTTGGGGTTGCGTGCCGAGCCGCCGGATCAACGATGAGCTGGACGCTGGATGTGTCCACTGGGTTAGTGGCGTCTTGAATGTTGTTGTTGGCTTGCAACATGACAACCAGGGCAAAATTGACTGTCGACCAACGAGTGCATATGTACCTGCCTGGGTACTTTACATAGGTACTTAAGTGGTAGTAGTAGTAGTAGTACATATGTGCATACAAATGTCACATTGTATGCCCACGCCAGGGCCAGTTGACAGGGAAAAGAGTCAATCTGTCGCATGGCGGCATTGAATATCGCGTACCTTTGTGTCCACAAACAATCAAACGGGTTCACACACTTGCCAGGTTCAGGCCAGGTGTACCTGCCTCTAAGAACGGACGGAGCAGGTACAAAGGCGGCCAGCTGCGGAGCACGGAGTCGGCAGGTGGGGATTTCGACAGCTCTTGCCCCAACTGCGCAGCTTCGGTGGCAAGCGGGAATACCAACCAGCGCTCGGTGCGCCAGCCTCGACAGCACATGTATGTACATACTTAACGGATTGTCGACTCCAACATGTCGACCCTTACTCCGTACAATGTGCCGGCTTGCCAATGCCCCTCGACAGCCTCGCCACCAGGGCTCAAGTGCTCTCCTTGCATCTGACCACAAACCACTCGCCAGCGCCTTCTCCCAGACGCTTGAGAGTCCTGCCGTCGCCGCTAGCTCAGACACGGGGAGATTTCCTTCTTATCCGACCAACCGGCCAACCAACCCCTCCACCTGCCTGCGGCCCTGGGCGAGCTCGAGTAGCATTTGACCAGGAGCATCACTGCATCACTGCCTGGCTCGGCAGGGACCATGCCTACATACTTGTGCCATGGATTTCGGTGGTACCGCCGCAGCATCCGTATCTTCATCATTCTCAACGACCTCGAAGACTGCACGCCAGACTGGATCATCGGACGAGACACGGCCGCCTTTATTCTCAGCCAATTCGCCGAGTCGTTTGACTTTGTACCAAGGCTAGAAAACGAAGACGGCACCGTCACGCGACCAGAGTCCAACGAGACGACGCCCACACGAGAGAAGCGGCCACAGTCTTACGACGATGATTTGGACATGCCTGTATCCAAGGTGTCTGCCGCCGAGGACACTGTACTCGTACATGAATGGTCACCAGTAAAGCTCCTGGAGGAATACCATGTGGAGGAAGCGGAACATGCGTCGAGGCCATACGCCTACGTGGCCGATCATGTTGTCCGGGTGGATCTCGGGGTAGACATTGTGGCAGAAATGGCAAGGTACGAGAAGACGGTCAAGCAAACTCAGTCGCAGTGGTTTGAACAGCTACGTGCCCAAGTCCAAGCGGAAGAGCAATCACGGTGGTATGTGGTTGTATGTGACGACACAGATCGGGAGGCACCAGAAAACTACGACGACGGAGATGAAGAATTGCCCGAGATGGAAGCAGCTCGACAACCTCGACCTCAACCTCAACCACGACCACGACCACAACCACAACCACAGGCAGGTTCATTATCAAGGACAGGTACGTCGTCGTCCTTGGCAGGCGATCGACTGGACTCGGGCGACGCATTGGGGGACTCGCCAGAGAACAGACCGGACGTACCAATGAAGCCCAAGTTCCTCGGCCAGGATCCCTTCAAGAAAGAGCTGCCGCCAACTCCGCGATTAAAGAAGAAGCTATCCATACGACGATTATTTTCCAAGAAGGATCCATAGCCAGACGTGAATAAACGTCTCCTATTGACGAGGGCCATGATGAAGACGCGATACGAACTTTGCGGGCACGAGGCGTAAGGAGGAATTAGACGGCGTTGGTCATGAAGTTTTTCCCAAGTGACGCGCTGTAACGGGGTACAATGTTCTGTGAAAAAGTAATCTAGGCGAAGCGTTGGCGAATGTGAGATTATTTGTACATTAAAATAATATTTTCTTTTAAAAAACATTCCCAAGGCCCTGTGAGGCGACGTCGTGTACTAGGGAACTTGGCCGTATATAAATACAATCCATGGTCGGAGACACTTGGGACACCAAGATGCGCTGTCTGGACACGGGCGTCTGCTCGTCACATATACAGGCATTGGCATTCGTGTCATAACACTTGGCCGGATATACAGCCCTGAATCCCAATCCCGTAATTCAATCACCATCATGTCCGCGTGTTTGCCTTCATCTGCTGCGTGGCCGAATGACGTCGCCATCACGTGTGGAGCTCCCAACTGGCATCCAACCTCGCATGTCGCCTTCGCTTCGTCTCACCCTCACTCTCGCATCCAGCTCTGCCCACGCCCAACGCCCAAATATCCATCCTCATGTAAGGCTCACCACGGCATCCCCCCAGCGCACAACCGCAAGCAGTGCGCATGGCGGCGGCCCCGGCCAGCTCCATTGAAGCCGTCACACCTCCCGACGGGACGGGGCCTCGGTGTGCCCCGACATTGTCGAAACCCGAAACAACCACGCAGCAAGCAAACATCCCATGGCCCACGCCGGCCGCCGCAGCCGCTTGGACCCGGGCGAGGCGTCCCCGTCCTTTGCACAGACCAGCGCCGAGTTCAGGCTCGATGACAGCGACGACGAGGCCGTCATCGACGAGTTCGACCTGCGCCATGAGGCCGGCGGCAGCGTCGAGGCTTACGAAATGGTCGAGCGGGACGCCGGGCGCAGACGCATGAGCGCGAGGAGCGCGAGCACCGTCGCCAGTTTCCAGCTGTACACGCCCGACGAGGACCTGGCGGTGCGGAGGAAGTTTGACAGGAAGCTGGTGCTGTTTGTGGCCCTCCTCTACCTGCTGAGCTTTCTGGACCGGTCGAGTACGCTGCCCTGCCCGACGCAATTCGCGTACGCAAGCTGACGCCGTGTACATAGACATCGGCAATGCAAGGATAGCCGGCATGGACGAGGACCTGCAGACGACGCCGCCCCGAGACGACTGGTACGAATGGGCCCTGACGGCGTTTTACATCTCGTACATTGCCTTTGAGTGGATGTCGCTGCTGTTCAAGCTCGTGCCCGCCCACATCGTCGTGTCCATGACGGTCCTGGCATGGGGCCTCACGGCGTCGCTGCAGGCAATTGCGCCTTCGTATCCGGTCCTGATCGCGCTGCGGGTGCTCCTCGGCATCGGGGAGGCGGGATTCACAGGCATCCCCTTTTATCTGAGCTTCTTCTTCAAACGGGAGGAACTGGCCTTTCGCACAGCCATATTCATATCAGGTACGCCAACCCACACATACGCCTAGGTATATAAACATATATACATGTATACACACATACACCAAAGAAGCCCTGCTCCCCCAAACCCCAACAACTAACAAAACAAAAAAAGCCGCCCCTCTCGCCACCAGCTTCGCCTCAACACTCGCCTACATCATCGTCAAGTTCGCGTCCCTATCGCCCATCGCCCCCTGGCGCCTCCTCTTCCTCCTCGAAGGCCTGCCGTCGGTCCTCGCCGCCGTCGCCGCATTCACCACAATCCCGGACTCGCCCTCGTCGGCGCCGTACCTCACGCAGCGCGAGAAAAAGGTCGCCCGCCTCCGCCTCCGCCGCGACCACCACCACCCCTCCTCGCACCAGCCTCACGAGCCCGCCTCGGGCCTCCAACCCCGCGACCTGCTGCTCGTCTTCGCAGACCCCGTCGCCTGGCTCACGTCGGCCATGTTCTTCCTCACCAACATGGCCTACTCCTCCCTGCCCGTCTTCCTGCCCAAGATCGTGGCGGACATGGGCCACGACGCGCTGACCTCGCAGGCGCTCTCGGCGCCGCCCTACCTCGTCGCCTTCGTCGCCGTCCTGCTGACGGCCCACGCGTCGGACCGCCTCCGCGCGCGCACCGTCCCCATTGTCCTGCACGCCTTGGCCTCGGCCGCGGGCTACGGCGCGCTGGCCCTGGCCGGGCCGCTCCGTCTGCCCCCGTTCCTGAGGTACCTGGCCGTGTACCCCGCCGCCGTGGGCTTCTTCAACGTCGTCACGCTCATTATAGCGTGGAGCATAAACAACCAGGCCAGCCAGACGAGGCAGGGCGGCGGCTTTGCCGTCCTGCAGCTCATAGGCCAGTGTGGCCCGTTGGTCGGCACGAGGCTGTATCCGGATAGAGACGCGCCCTATTATACGAGCGGCATGGGCGCGTGTGCCTTGGCAATGCTGGCCGTTGCCGTCTTGGCCCTTGTTCTGAGGTGGTATCTGCGGTACAGGAACAGAAAGATGGACCAAAAAGGCGTGGACAGCGAGCACGACGAGTATGCCGTGGAGGAGGAAGGGCTTGTTGCCTCTGGGAAACGGAAAACAGAGCCAGCTCACTCCTTCAGGTACATGTTGTAAAATGTCCATACAATGATGGCAAAGTTTGTATTGGTGTGATGAGAATGGCGCCCTTGCCTCTTGTCTAATTATTTATAAAAGCTCCTTGAATCATGCCTCTAACACTGTCCCCCATTGTTGATTATTTAGCACGAAACATCCAGGATGGTGCTCGATATCTCGTCACCCCATCTTTCCACCACTCTTGATTCCCTGGACCACTCTCATACTTGAAGACCCCGTATGGCTGGGCGGATTTGTCCTTCACATCATCAGCTGGTTGTGGTCGTTGTCGTCGCCGCCCAATTCCTTTCCATGCCCTAAACTCACCAAATCTTCGCTGGTACTTGAGGCGACGATATGCTTCAGTCAGGCGACGGCTGCTATCGTGATATATATTCACCGCCCATTGACGAAAGGCCACGAGGCGGGGGCGTTTGGACAACGACTTGGTCAGGCTGCGAAGAGAAAACTGCGAGGCCTTTCGTTTGGAACTAAAGGTCTGGGCAGCACGCGCAAAAGTAGGACCATCTTTGGGCTCTGGGCTTCGTCGATCTGCGTCTATAGTGCCATCATACCAGAACAGGTCAGAGCCATCTCCTGGAGCCATGATTTCCCGATTACTGGTGTCGGCGACGGCGTTCGACGAGGGTGAACTTGATCGGAGATTTGGCAATGAAAAACCAGAAAGACTGAGTCTATTGCCACGGCAGTACTCAGCCTCTGATACTGGAGATTGGACTCGCGGCGTATTATGACCAGGTGACGGATATGCAGACGAGGCACTCCAAATATTCGATGGTTTGCATGCATGGGCCGAAGGGCTGATACACAGCCCGCGATCCACCATGTCAAGGAAGTCATCCGACTCTGGGGCTAAATGGCATGGCAATAGCACCGATGGAGGGCAAAGCTCATGGCCGATATCTGGTATATGGGCATCTAGTTCTTGAAGATCATAGGCCGGCGGGGACAGGGGACGCAACGCGCAAAGTGCTGGTGGTTTGGGGCTCCAAGTAGCAGAGTTGACGGGACTCTATGCCGACGACGGATCTTCATGCCCTACTGGAGGGGGAGTATAGTGCGATGGAGACGCGAGTTGAGCTATCATGATGATTGTTGATACTGGCCAAATGTTGTGAAGGAGCAGTGTTGTGATGAAGCGTTGCGAAAGGAAGAAGTCAAGTCTGGTTGGTGTTATATCCAGATGGTGCCTGCCACATGTGACTTTAACAGCCGGGGACAGCTGGGGCTAACTGTAATGCCAAGCACTGCCAGCTGCGAGGGTGGCCTTGTATTTGCCCGGTAGCTTCACGTACATGGGGATTTTTTTATACTCTTAGGTGTCTTGAGGATTTTTTAACATATTAGTAATATCTTTAATTGGTCAATCCCTGGTCGTTGCAAAAATGGCACCTGCGCACAGCCAAAGGGATAAGGAACTCTACACCACGGTTCTGGAGACGTATGCGTCGGGGCTGGGCTGCGCGAGCCACTTTCCCCGGCAGACAATTTCACATCCTAAGGGTTCCTTGATTCCTGGGACAAACGAGTCACGACACTCTGTCTGGTCAAGGGGGGCTGGCGGTCTGCTGCGACGGCCGCCGTAGGCAAGACTATGTTAATACAAAATAGGAATGGCAACTGGTCAATCGCGGAACCGACGAACCCGACGATGCCACGAGAGAGGCAACCCCCGGCGCGGCTGGACGAGTTCAAGGCTCGGTGGCCCAAAATACCGCGGGTGACTCCATCCGTTGTCGTCAACAGGGTCATTGGCTTGGCTCTTTGGCGCCCCCGCACTGGTTACCCTTTAATCGTGCCAGGTTGGGAATGTAGGGCCGACGGCTAGGTCAACTATTGGAGAGTCATGAGCCAAGGGTTCGAAAAGCGAGTGCGAGCCGACGAGGGACGGGTAGCGGTCCCGGGGAAGGCTGAACTGACTGGGACCATGCCATGTGCTGGCTTGGGGACTGCGTCACATACATATGCCCCCGGCAATTATACTAGGGGGAGTTGATCAACGGGGTTGTCAACTCAAAATAGAACGTCAAGACAGCCAAGTGGAACAGCACTCGAGCTCTCCCAGATGCCAACGGTTCCTGCCAACATACATACATATCCAAACGTTGAGCATGGGCATCGTCAGTCAGGCGAGACGAGTTGACGACGAGTCTCGCTCTCGTCCTTGGTTAGAGCACCATGGCAACGTCCATCTAACAACCATCAAATCCCCAGACTCCCTTCTGCCCAGACACGTCGAAAAGAAGCCACAAGAAGCTCCAAAGTATGTCTCGCTGCGTCAGCGACAGTCCAACCCACGCCACAAACACAGATGGCTTGGCTCGCTTGCACACTGGACACAACAACAGTGGCACACCACCATTTTTGCTTCGCAACGCACGCCCAATCGCTCCACTTACGTGCTGGAGTCCCGATCATGATCAAGCCCGTCTGACGCAATGTGCCCCAAAGGTCGGTGCCTAGGTCGTCCCAGGCCGTCCTCAGATTCGCCCAAGGTCGACACGTACCCTGAGCCCACCATCACTTAGTCACGCCTGTTTGTGGCATTATACGACGCATCCAGATCTTCATTCACGCTTCGGCCAGCCTCGTAGGGCGCAGCCATGTGCAGTCGTGAACAGCCAGGGGTCCCGTCACCTCCCCCTCCCTCCCACCTTCAGCCGCTCCTCGTTGGAGTCGCACTGATTACCCGATACATGACCCCCGGGGGCTGCCGGGTTCTCCCTTGATAACAGATACTTGGGTCCACTGGGGGTATTCAGCTGGTGGGCGAGGTTGCTTGTTATCCGTAAGGCTTGGACGACTTGTATCGAGCGTCATCTCCACTTGGAGCGTTATGGTTGCCGCAGTCGGTGGAAGCGCCTTGTTTGGCGCATCAAGATTGTCCAAGTGGATTCGGTTTGCGGCTCTCGCTTCAGAAAATGAGTGGATGTACGTGCTTGTCTTGTCGTTTTGAAATGTGCATTTATAATACTGGGGGGTTGTCCCATGTTCTTGATGGAAGAGCTCCATTTCCATGTCGCAAGTGGTCATGGTATAAAAGAGGACCCTGTGGTCCTTAAAGAAACTGACGCTTTTGAACGGGTTAGGAAAGAAGGCGTATTTTGACTCTTCTCCCTCCATCTTCTGGAAGCTGTTCAGCGAGCGTGTCGAGGTGAATATGGGCGACATGCCGAATAGCTCGGGCTCTGGCTCGAGGCCACGCACAAGACAGAGGGCATATAAGCCTCCGCCGCCGCTGGACGTACCGGATATCGAGGAGGACGCGGCAGAGAGAAAACGGATATTGAATGTGCTGGCGCAACGGAGATATCGTACGTGTTTGGAACCCACCCCCGCGTGTTGTTCAAGGGCGCATATTCATCTCTTGATGTCGTTTTGTGTTTCATTTAGGAGAAAAGAAGAGACAGAAGCGTATGAGAGGGAGCAGCGACTCAAAAAGCACCTCACAAGAACCCGAAGATGAACACGCTCAGCTGGTCGAGGAGATTCCCGTCGACACTATAGAACCCGTCGACACCGGCATTCAGAGTCCCGGCTCTATCTTCGGCATCGACATGTGCTTTAACAACTGGGACATGCTCACCGACCCGACTCTCTCATCAATGATGCCCGATGTAATTGGGGTATTTTCCGATTTCCCCACGGCCGCGGCCGTCGATGACGGGTCAGGTGGTGGCGGCGGCGATGGTATCCTCACGGCATCCTCCTCGTCGGGCTCAGTCCCCCCGTTCACCACGATGTCCAATGTAATGTTTGGTTCACCGCCATCCCTAGATAGCTCATCAAACTCATCGTCCGATGTCAGCTTCCCCGACAGCTACCTCTTGCCCGTCCATGAACTGACACTTCTGCGTGCCATGCTGCGTATAGCGGACCGGCTTGGATGCAAGGGCTCACTTTGGAGCCTGGATGCTCTGTCGCCCTTTAATCAGGGAATCGCGACACCGCCAGATCAACTTCCCCGGCCATGGCGTCCAACTCCCTCACAAGTTCTGATCCCGCACCACCCGCTCTTCGACTTCCTTCCCTGGCCCAGCGTCCGGGACAAGATCATCGGCATCCTCTCGCTCCCCGACGACGCCCGCCCGGCCACCGCCTCTGGCCCGCTCGCCCTCGTCAACTTCGCCTACGACTTTGAGGACAATGCCGAGGGTGTGCGCATCTACGGCTCCGACCCTTACGACCCCAGCTGCTGGGAGGTCGGCCAGGTCTTGTTTCAGCGCTGGTGGTTCCTATTTGATCGGGACATTGTCGACAACAGCAACCGATGGAGGAGGTTACGGGGGGCGCCTCTGCTGGCTTTGACGGCTCCCGGTGTGGAAAACTAATGTACGTGCGTTCCTCTTTGGGGGAGCGAGCTAGCTTGCGTATGTGTGTATGTGTGTGTATAAGAAAGAGAGAGGGAAAGAAAGGTAGTCGCTTCATCGTGTCTTATTTTTAGAAGGTTACAGAGAAGGCAATATCCCGGAGTTGGCCAGCAGGTGTTTGCTTTTTGCTTTTTGTATGGCTTTTGATTGAATATAGCCTCAACCTCTCAAGCCAATACTTTACTCACCACGGGCAGAAATTTCAAAATTCGCCCAACATATCTGATGTGGCTACGCTTGATGGAGTATGTCTGCGCCTGTTGTGACTCATCGTCGATCGATAGACGCGGCTGTGGATGATATGTCTAGTGTATAAGACGCTGCTCCCCCGGCCCGAGCCAACTATGAGCCGGGTCCTGGTATCGTCGCCGCCATAAATATTCAACTTGCCCTTGTTTCCGGGAGAGCTAGCTCCAGCAAGACTTCGACAGCGACAACCTCGATGCAATGTTTCCTGAGGAACCCGCGGCCGACTCGGAGGGAAATGAGAAGTGAGCTAGCCCATTGCTTGGCTGGCAGCACCAGAATGTCCCGTGTGCTGGATGAGACGGTGGGCAGTTGGACTCGGCGAATACCCACGGATGGAAGGGATGTCAGGTGTTGCGGTTGATATTCTCAAGCATCATCCGAGTCATCGCACCACGCAAACGGTGATTATTTGATAAATGCAACAGCCACGCCAACCATGCCGGGTTACTATTTTGACGAAGCGCAGTCAGCTCAAATCTCCACAGTCGTCACCGATGAGTCAAACTTTGCTTAGTCCCCGTACACTTATTCCAATCCCCCGCTTTGCCCAGCGTGAAAAGACACGGGGTCCCCCTGTGAAATTGACTTGATTTATCAATCCCAAAAGTGTACTGCTTCTTGTTGCCGGGTTTCCGTTGCAACAGCCCCGGCCGTAGACCATGTCCTTTACACCGTTCGTGCTTGTCACCGACAGGCTCATCTTTGTGCCTACCCCAATGTCCGAGTCCATCAAAGGCTACCGAGACTTGTTCAAGAGATTACATGAAGACCATTCATTCTGTGACATGGGATTCGGAGACGCATTTCCCGCCCGGGCCTGGACCGACGATGAGATCAGAAATGTGCTCATGGCGGGGGATATCTCTCGTCGCTGGAACAAGAGGAACATGGGCGACTTTGCCGTCGGGCTGCTGCCAACCACAGCCACGGGAAACCTCTTATTCAGCTCCAACGAAGGAAGGAAGCTGAAAAAGTCGCCAGAGAATATCCGCGTCATCGAGCTCGATCGTTGGGACAACCCAAGCTGGCAGAACGACGTCGAGTGGGTTGGGTATTCCTGCGCCCGGGACTGCACGGCAACACTCCCGCCGCTTGACGAGGGGGAGGCTCCCTTGCCGCCATGGCAAGAAATGTTGGAGATGCGTTATGGCGTGAGCCCCGAGCACTGGGGTAAAGGACTGGCTCTCGAGGCATCCAAGGTGGTGATCCAGTGGGCTATTGAGGAGAGAGGTGTCCGGCGATTTATTGCTGAGACGCAAAAGGGGAACAGCAGAAGCCGCCGAGTGCTGGAGAAGCTGGGATTCCAGATGGTCGATAGCAATTACTTCAAAGAAAAGGACGTCTTGGACGAGTGGGAAATGGTGGTGGCATAGAGCACAGCGGCCGGTCAATGCTCACCGAGCATTCTCAAGCTCTTATCGACTCCCCGGTGGCAACGACAACTGCCGAGCATTGCCGCCTTGAAACGAAACTTGGAAACAAGACCACCGGCAGGCTTGTGCCGATTGGCAGAAACACCATGGTTCTCAGATCCGTCCGATCTTATCGTGACTTGATCTTGCCGCCCCATCCGACTTGGCGCATCCTCCCAGTAGCTCCAGTTGACTTGTTCCAAGAATATGTAGCAGAGATTGAGTATGTCCAATAGATGTCTGAGCTTTGAACCGGCTAGTGCCAAACGCCATTCGGGAATCCCTATCTTCAAGGTTGAAGGAGACCGCACTGACGGGAATCATGGGCTGTGGATCGACGAGGGACCAAGCGTTCGGTTGTGAAACTGCCGAGCCATCACATCACATAGCTGACATGTCGTTGATAAATATGATCTTGAAATACGAGACAAGTTGTAATCCTACCATGCCATTTTATCAAGTTCGCCTGCCAACTTTTTGTTTTGTTTATACGGCACGGTGATCAACTCACTGTCTCTTTTTGCGTGGGCTACCCTGATTATCAGATTATTCAACCTCAGACAAACAACAACCCAAAGAGCAATGGAGGCCGGTCAAAGTGACGAAATGAAACGCACATGCACCATGACATGCGGCGATTATATCCTGTCGCGAATAACTACCCTGCGGCCGCCTATGGACAGAGTCACAAGTCCTATGAAAGCTCTTCGCATGCTCGACCGCGAGCAATGGAATTTTTTTGGGGTGAGTTTCCGGGATATGATTCCTGGCCGAGTATTTTGTTAACATCTAATACACGCAGTGTGCCTGGAGTGGCTGGATTATGGATTCCTTCGACTTCTTCACCGTCAGCTTGACATTGCCACAGCTTGCAGCCGAGTTCAACAAGAAAGACTCCGACATGACATGGGGCATTACCCTGGCATTGATGTTTAGGCCGCTGGGCTCGTTTCTTTTTGGATTCTTATCCGATCGCTACGGGCGCAGGTGGCCGTTTGTCATCAACAACTTGATGTTCATTCTCCTCGAGCTCGGGACTGGGTTTTGTAAAACGTACAATCAGTTCCTGGTCTGCAGGGCCTTTTTCGGAATTGCCATGGGAGGAATTTATGGCAACTCCGTCGCAACGGCCCTGGAAGATTGCCCTCACCCAGCGCGAGGATTCTTGTCTGGCCTGTTTCAGTCCGGCTATCCGCTGGGATATGTCTTAGCTACGGCAATGAACCGAGCTTTAGTTGACACGACAAGATATGGATGGAGGCCGCTATTCTGGTTCAGCGCTTGCCCGCCCGTCTTCATCATCGTATGGAGGTTGAGGCTCTCTGAGACGAGAGCCTTTCGAGATCGTAAGATGATTTCCAAGACTCTGTCCGACAACACCCCTACTTTCATGGACAAGGCATGGATTGCTCTCCGGGACTACTGGCTTTCCATCCTATACATGGTGGTTTTGATGAGCGGCTTCTCATTTGTTGTATGTCATAGTATTTTCAAGACGTCTCATTTTTACCAACATGTTTTACTGACCGTAGATTGGGCCAGTCTCATGGCGCACAAGACCTGTACCCGACAATGCTCACTACCGAGTTTGAGCTTACGCCGAATCAATTGACAGTCACGCAAGTAGTAGCAAATATGGGGGGGTTCCTCGGTGCAATCTGTGTTGGCAATCTGTCCGAGATTTTCGGGCGCCGCCTAACCATCATGGCCTCTTTAACTGTGGCTGCAGGAGTACTATACCCGTACACAAGAGTTCAGACGCCGGGTCTGACGGTGGCTGCTTTCTTCCTCCAGTTTGCCACACAAGGTGCATTTGGAGTTCTTCCAAGTCATTTGATGGAATTGTCCCCAGCAGACATCCGGTCCATTGTGGTAGGCACTGCATATCAACTTGGGACCATGGCGTCAAGCGGCTCGGCAACAATTCAGTCTGAAATAGGCGAACGCTATTTCCCACTTCCGCCAGGTCCATCTGGTCAACAGCGCTATGACTATGGCATAGTCATCTGTGTATTTCTGGGCGCGGCTATAGCTTTGGTGGTGATGACGACCTTTATGGGACCAGAGCACAAGGGACGCGAATTCGGGTTGGACAGTCAGGAGGCCATCGAAGTTATAATGACGAGGGACCAAATCCCATCAACTTCCAAGTCTGATAAATCATTAGCTGAAGCAGAGAAAGCCTAGAGGGCAAGCGTTGGCGTGTTGCGAGTTGTTGTAATTGAATATTCTGCTTAACATTGTGCGATTTGCAATGGCCTGCATGGTCCATTGTCGTCGTCGATTATGCCATTCGTACAAGACGTGAATCTACACCATCAAGGCCGCCAAAGGACTCTGAACGAGGCATTGGGACGCCAATCAATCGGCCTTCTGCGAAAAGGAGTCACTTGGCAAACACCGACTCCCTCCGAGGTATTTTCCGGCTTATAGAAACGCGTGCCGCCGAAGGTATGATTGGGGCGGTAGGTGGTTCCTCGGGGAATCTCAACTGGCTGGCTGCATGTGCTCCGTTGCAGGCAAGAAGATAGTGGCTGAAGATTTTGAGTGCAGACTGCAGAAGCCACGTCACATAGAAGCCGAGTAGGTGTTCACTTGGCCCGTCAACCCGTGAGAAGCCTTTGACGATGGCGTCTCCAATTCGCTCAGAGGCTGATCAACAAGGGGGAGGGGAAACCCGAATACGACCAGCAAATGGATTGAGCATGTGGGTGAGTCGTGACCAGTGACCACCAAGAAAATGCACGACGATTTCAGCAACAGAAAAAAAACCACCGGCCCAAACCAAAAATGCAGGTGCAACCTTGGGACTGATGGTACACTGGTGGCGTCATTCGTTGACCTCGGAGGAACTCAAGTACAGGCACCTGAGTACCTGGGTATGGTAGGGTGGGGTATCGGAGGGGGGCGGTACTTCGAAAGGAGGGGCATCATGGCTGGAAGGTACCTGCCTAGGGTACTTCAAGTACCTGGTACCCAGTTGCTCAGCAGGCATGGTACGACGGGTAAAGTACTTAAGTACTTAAGTAGTTGATTGATTGCCTCGGAGGGTTCTTTTACGGGCAACTGAGGAGGGCACGGCAAGACATCTTGGATATGGAGCACAAGGGAAAGCGCGGGACAGGACATGGGTTGCTGGGCAAGCTGGCTCTTTCCCGATGCGTCGTGGAAGATGTAAAACTCCAGACGTCGAGGTTCGCGATGCTCTGTCGCCCGCTGACAAACAAACATGCATGAATGTCCACCGGCAGTCCAACATAGCACCAGAGCCCGTTGCTCTGATTTTCTCGCAGCGGATGAGTCTGGCCGTCTCGCTCGCCGAGGGACCGGCAACGGTACCGCATCTCACTGCTTCAGTGGATCTGTCGACCCAATCAGCACTTTTGCTGGCCATTCCGACTGCATTTCTCCAGGCCCAGATCAACTGGTCTTGGTCCGCTCTCGAGCTGGTACAAAATCAAATGATGTAGCTACATGCGCCGTACGCATCGGAGGTACATATGTACCCCTCTGGCCCTTTTCACAGGTTCCAGTACGGCGTCGGCGCCCCCCACCTTTGACACTGGAGCCCCCGTTCTCGCTCGACGTTCGGTGGCATTTGTCCTCGAGAAGTTTTCCTAGATTTGCGTCTTTAACATAAGCATTGCACTTTCTGACTCTGTGGTTGTCTGTGAGGGCAATTTAAGTCGTACGGCCCCTGGAAGGACAGCTCTACTAATTTGCACCTTCGGGGCCCCCTGCGGTACGCTGATTGAACACGTCGACAACATCTGTGAAGCCCCGACCTTGTTTCCGGTTGGCTCCAGGCCGTGAATACCTCAACCTGTCCCGCTTGTTCGGACAGAATACGTCTCACCAATTTCGCCTAGGCCCTGCCGGGGCCATTGTCAAAGTCACCGACCTCCTGGGTGCTTCGAGTCGTCTTCAACCGCCCCTAGTTTATTTTGACAACTCCAACTCTCTCTTACCACCGCTTCCACCACCGTCACCAAGATGCATATCAAGGATATGCTAGCCGAAGCCGAGAAGGGCGGCCAGCCGTCCTTCTCCTTCGAGTATTTCCCCCCCAAAACTGCTCAAGGTGTCCAGAATCTTTACGACCGAATCGACCGCATGTATAACTTTGGACCCAAGTTTATAGACATTACTTGGGGAGCTGGAGGCCGTATTGCCGAGCTTACCTGCGAGATGGTTCTTCAAGCCCAGTCAGTCTACGGCCTCGAGACTTGCATGCACTTGACTTGCACCGACATGGGACTGGACAAGGTCAACGCTGCTCTCCAAAAGGCGTACAAGGCTGGTTGCACCAACATCCTTGCCCTCCGCGGCGACCCCCCTCGAGCCCAAGAGAAATGGACTGCTGCCGAAGGCGGATTCCATTATGCCCGCGATCTTGTCAAGCACATTCGAGCTACCTACGGCGACCACTTCGACATTGGCGTTGCTGGCTATCCCGAAGGCTGCGATGACAACAAGGATGAAGAACAACTGCTCGACCATCTGAAAGAAAAGGTGGACATGGGAGCATCATTCATCGTGACCCAGATGTTCTACGATGCCGACAATTTTGTTCGCTGGGTTGGCAAGGTTCGCGAGCGTGGAATCAACATCCCTATTCTTCCTGGTATCATGCCCATTGCTACCTATGCCAGCTTTCTGCGGAGGGCCAAGCACATGCAGTGCAAAGTCCCCGACCACTGGATGACGGCTTTGGAGCCAGTAAAGAATGACGACGTTGCTGTCCGTGAGATTGGAAAGACTCTGGTTGCCGAGATGTGCCGCAAGCTGCTGGCCAATGGCATTTATCACCTGCACTTTTACACCATGAACTTGGCCCAAGCTACGCGCATGCTGCTCGAGGAATTGACTTGGGCACCATGTGCCGAGCGGCCCCTTCAGCAGGCTCTTCCCTGGAAGCAGTCCAAGGCCCTCGGACGACGAGATGAAGATGTGCGACCTATATTCTGGCGCAACCGCAACAAGTCCTATGTTCTCCGCACGCAGGACTGGGACGAATTTCCCAACGGTCGATGGGGTGATTCTCGGTCCCCTGCTTTCGGAGAGTTGGATGCCTACGGTATCGGCCTGACCGGCACCAACGAGGCCAACCGCAAGAAATGGGGAGAGCCAACCACTGTCCAAGACATTGCCGGCATTTTCGTCAAGTATCTCAACCGAGAAATGGAGTCGCTCCCTTGGAGTGAGGCTCCTCTTACTGGTGAAGCCAATGCCATCAAGGACAATCTTATCCAACTCAACAAGCGTGGCCTTCTAACTATCAACTCGCAGCCTGCGGTTGACGGCGTCAAGTCATCGCACCCCATCCACGGCTGGGGTCCTTCTAACGGCTACGTTTACCAAAAGGCATACCTTGAGCTTCTTGTCCCTGCCTCCATCTTCACCGAGATGGTTAAGCGTGTCGAGGATAAACCAACCCTGACCTACTACGCTGTCACCAAGGATGGTGAACTCAAGACGAACGCTCCATCAGATGGACCCAACGCTGTAACCTGGGGTGTCTTCCCCGGCAAGGAAATTGTCCAGCCCACTATTGTGGAGAGCATCAGCTTCCTCGCGTGGAGAGATGAGGCATTTAGACTGGGCACGGATTGGGCCCACTGCTTTGAGTCCGAGACGCCTAGCCGAGTTCTCCTTGATCAAATCATGAACGAGTGGTATTTGGTCAATGTTGGTAAGTGTGAATGAAATTGTGTTTGTCGTGTCATATAGCGGCTGACTAACGTTTACTAGTCAACAATGACTTCCACGAGAACCAAACCATCTTTGATCTCTTTGAGGGACTTGAAGTCAAGGGACTCGACACTCCTGTGGCCGTATAAGGCGAGCAGGATAGAATCGCACACACCATCATCTCCCCCTCCTATCTCTCAATTGGCCGATCTGTTCCACCAGAAGGCTTTTGCATTGACAGCGATTGCGGTCAATATGGGGCAAGCATTAACTCATGTCCCTACCTCTTTTCTTTTGACATTTGATTTTTTTGGTGCATTTTTTGATCTAGTTTCTTGATTGTTTTTTCTTATCCAGGGAGCGCATGCATGAATGACGGCGTTTAAGCACAAAAATACGGCAAACAGGCGGGGGCAAGGCGTGACTTTTTCAACAAAAAGCTACACAGACGCAATGAACAATGACTTGGTTGAATGGTGAGGTTCAAGGGGAGAGAGAAAGGAGTGAAGAAGGTACAACGACCCAAGAGTATACGCGCCACGATCATGCAGCAAGGGGGTTTGAGATGTAAGCCCGGTTTTGGCTCCTCGCCCCCATTGATTTTGAATTTCTTGCAGCAAATTGCATATAATATCTCAACGATACCCCGCCTATGCACAGCCAGATGTGTTTAGACAGAGCGAAGACAGTGGCAGTAGTGATGCAGGTGCAGGTGCAGGCGGAAGCGAGCAAATATGGGGGAGATTTGAGCTAAAAATGGAATAAAATAAATACAGACGGCGCCATGAATAGAAGCTTTAATATAAATGAAGCCTTGGAGGCATGCCACGGCAGCTACTACTTGTTTCTTGGCGTCGGAATTGTAGTCCCGTTGCTGTGTGCCATGCTGACTATGACCAAAAGTCTTGATATCAAAGCCCTTGGTTAAGTAGTTGACGAGGGCAGCTTTGACGCTATCTAAGTAGAGTCTTGAGGAGTACGTACCTGACAGCGGACTGTATCTCATCATGGTAATTGCTTTGTTTCAAGTGGCCATGTACGAATCGCCGCCTGCCTTAAGTCAATCATGGACGTGCTTGGAAGTATAGGTAGGGTTTCGAGATACGGCATGTGACGCCTGGCGTTGGTATTTGTCACGAACCCATATCCGGGCACATATTTGATGGATAGTTTCTGAATCGGGTTGTGCTATCTAGGAAACTAGAGCCTACCTAAGTATGTAGACCTCCAGAGTCTACATTGTTCGACCCAGTAACCTACCCTACACCTACCCATAACGAGACACCCATCCGTGGTATTCACAGCCCGAATTTTACTTCACTACGCATGTAAATCAGCGCATCTGGCAAGTATCCAGACAACGTGGACGACCAAGACAGTCAACTACGCGTGTGAGATTCTCAGTGGCCACCCTGAAATAGTTATGCATACTCATCATCATGTACAACTACTCCCATCCATAGTCGCCCACCTCGTAATCCATATTCACGGGTGTAGCATTGGCATCCCTCTCCTTCTCGCGCACCTCCCCTTCCTCCCTGGCATCATCCATGCCGGCCATTGCATCCCCCGGCATGACGGTCCCGCCCTCCTCGTGCGCCGACTTCTTCAAGTTCACCGGGGCAAGCGGCGAATTCACCCACGACAGCTCAAGCTTGCCTTCCACACCGGGCAGTTCGTTCCCATGAAGTGAGTAGTAGAACCTTTCGGCGGTTTTGCGGTCTCGGAAGGACACGTGTGTGACGGAGGGGTTCGAGTCGACGGATTCGAATTCACCCATGTTCTGTACATGTTAGATTTCCTAGGTTCTTCTTTTTCCCTCCCTTAGTTTTGTTGAGATTGGGAACTTACCAGCAAGAAGTGGCGGAGTTGCTCATCCTTTTCCGATGGTGTGAAATCGACCCCCGTTATTGCCAGCTTCTTCGGGCGGTTGTCGATGGAAAACTGAGCATAAGCAGCATGCCTCCCTGCTGTTCCTCGCATGGCACCCCTTCCCCTGGGCGCAAATCCTCTCCCACGATAACCCCGACCTCTGTATCCACCCCGGGATGGATATTCACTCGAGTCTACTTCGGCGTTGGGATCAATGCCAAGTATCTTGGCTTCTTGTTCCAGTGCAGCGAGTTTGGCCCTGAGCATATCAGTCCCCGAGGAACCAGTTGTCTCGGAGCCGCCATCCTTCCCCGCCAGCTTGGCCCGTAACCGTTCTGACTCAGCTTGGTGTTTGGCCAATAGATCTTGCTGCTGCTTTTCCAGTTCCAGCCGTTTCTTTTCCAGTTCGCTGCGCTTGTCTTCCCGTTCCTGGTGCTGCTTCTGCGCCTCCTCCTGTTTCCGTTGGAACTCTTCCATGTCAAGTTCCGGCTCGGCGTCCATTTCGTCTAGTCCAGAGCCGGGTTTGAAGCTGGGGTTATTTGAAACTGACGCCGGCAGCTTGTCCTTCTCATCCTTGTACCAGAAAATTTTGACGAATCGGTTGTCGAATACAACTTTTGGAGAGCGGTATGCGTCATTGGCTGCCGCCCACTTGTCGTACTTTACAATCGCTAGATGCTTGTAGGGCTGCATTGATACGTCGACAATGTTTCCGAACTGTGCAAAAAATTCCTTGACCTTGCCCTCGCTAAAATGCTCTTCGGGGATATTCTCGACGACGATGGTGCTCTTTGAGCGATCATTTACAGCACCTTCAGCGGAAAATGGCGCTCGTGAGCCGCCTTTGCGCCCTCCTCGCTTCCCTTTGCGGCCACGAGATGGCGTCTCGGGATTAAGTGGTTTGATCATGGCGTTACTGGGATCGTATTCTGCCCAATTGTCAGCAATCTATCGAGCTCAGACTTAGTAGCGCCGTCAATATCGTGAATGTCTCATATCTATAGGTCTTGGCTGACTTGCCACTTGGCGAGTAACCGAGGCTGTGCTTAGACGGAAGCAGGACAATCACAACCATAGACAGACACAGACTAAACCACCGCATAATAATCAACAGGGAACTTACCATCTCCCCCATCGCCGCCGCCATTGCCATGATCATAAACACATGTGCTTCCCCTCGCACAAAAACCCTTAGTGTCGAAATCTCTACACCTCCCTCTCCCCTTCTTCCTCTGACCCCCTCTTCCTACAGCACCACCACCAAATCCCCAGCCTTGCTGTCCTGGCATTGCTGGCCACGGTAACCCCATGGCTTGCATCTGCATCATCGCCTCCATGGGATTATTCGGATCGAAGGGTGGCATCATCATCATGCCATAGCCGTTTGAATTTCTATCAGCTCTATCCTCGCGGCCGCGCCGTCCCTTTCGAGGCTGCTTGAATGCGCGTCCACCTTGAGGACCATTCTGTTCAGGATCGTCTGAAGGACCGGATTCTTCTAAGCGTCGCTTACGTGAGGATTCCGGGCTTTTGTTTTGTAATGAGGGAAGAGGATCTGCAGGTTTCGGCGGGGGATGTGCACCGGGGAGGTATGACCTGTACGTGATGGCCTGGAAGACGTCGTCTAGGAAAGCCTTAGGATCTGTCCGTGACTAAAGCGTCAGTAATCACAAGAAGAATTGATAGCCGTAGTACTAGAAGCTGTATCGGATTCCATGCATCGCACAGGAAGACTCACCCTCTGTGAGAAAGTCCGGAATCTCCTGCTCACACAGCTTCCTCACACTCTCCTTATCCCCATCATGCTTCAGCAGCGCAATCACGTATTCCGCAAGTACGTCCGAGTCGGCATCTGATCTATTGGGAGTTAGTAATGCCTTTCCGTTTCTCATGTCTTGTCATGCTCCTCGTAGGGTATCGCCAGATATGACGCACGTGTTTTCTATGCGCTTCACAATCCACGCCTTAAGCAGTTGCGCGTCCTCCTCGGGGAATAGCATTGTCGACAATATGTGCGTGAAGAAGGGCTCGCAGTGAGCTCGTTCTCGGGCGCATATAGCTCATCCAGGGGGTTAAGAAATGTCAGGGCAAAAACGTTTGCCAGGCAGGCTGTGTAGAAAGATTGATGGAGAGCAGTGACCTTGTTCTGGAAGCTTTAGACTTTGTGGATCCTTATTGGCTGAACGCGCGGATTACGGAGTACCCAATGCTGTGGAGACTGAAGACCGATATACAATCGTATGAGAAGTCGCTGTAACAACGTTGCATTTAACGCGTCTCTAACTACCGAGCACTTAGGCACCTATCGAATCTGCTAAACACTCACTTGTGAAGCAATCAATTCTTTTTCGTGGATGTACTGTTGGTAATCCTCCCGTGACACAGCTCCAAACACCAGTACAGTTCAACGCTTGGAACGCAACTGCAGTTACGGACCCAGTTTATCACATTGCATGCACATATTTCATTCTGAACATTTAATTGATCCGAGACGACATAACTACATATATGAAAAGCTCAAAACAGCTTCCCTTGATTATAGGCTCAACCTGGCATTCGGTTGTTGTGTTTATTTTTTTTAACTTCCTGGTCGGCGTACCGACCAACCCCCGGTCAATGCCTTTCATAGCTGCCACGGTTGGGGCTCCGCGAGGAAAGCACTCCATACCTGTACGAGTAGCTGGTTGACGAGATGTGCCAGTGTAGGCACGACACCTGATTCTATCAGCACATAAGGAAGCCGTTTACAGCTTGTCATAGTACTAGAAGTAAACATAACACGTTAGCATGCTTCTCGTCAGTCAATTTGCGGGCTATGAAATAAACTTACGTTCTCAACGCCGGGAACCTCGATCTTGATACCCTTGCGCTTACGCATTTCTGTGACAATCTGGCCGACCTTGGAGGTGGAGTCAAGGGGAGAGCCACCGGGCAGGACCTGCCAGTGGTCAAAGACGGACTGAGGGAAGGCCTGGCCAGAGGTGGCGGCACGCAGGTCACCGTTGAAGCCGAAAGACTCCAAGACGGGCAGATAGGCCTTGATGTTGAAGAGGGGAGTACCGGGGCGCTGCTCCTCGTTGAAGACGTGACCACGACGGCGGGTAAGGACACCATAGACACCACCCATGGCCTGCTCGGGAACCTGAATTTCGACCAGGTAGACGGGCTCGAGCAGGGCGGGCTCGGCCAGCAAGGCAGAGGCGTACAGGACACGACGGGCAGTGGGAATGATCTGACCACCGCCACGGTGAATGGCATCAGCGTGCAGGGTGACATCGAGGATGTTGAAGCGGATAGAGCGCATGGGCTCCTCAGCAACAGGACCCTCACGACTGGCCCACTGGAAACCAGAGACAACGGAGTCCTTGATTTCGTTCAGGTACTGAACAGCCTTGGTCTGGTCAACCAGCAAGTTGGCACCGGTACCATCAGGACCGAAAGTCCAGATCTTACGGGCATCAGTGACATCCCAACCGAAGTCATCGGCCAGGACACGGGCACGAGCCTTGAAATCGTCACGGGCAGAGACCTTGCCGCCCTCGATGGCCAGAGAGAGCTCCTCATCAATGGGCTCAGCAACCATGTACAGACGGTTGTGCTTGTTGGGGGACTTGGACAGAGCCGTCATGCTGGACTTGCCCTGGACGGTCTCACGGTACTGGACGACGGGGTCCGAGATGTTGAGAGGAACACCGGCGTGGTCCTCCTCGAGATCCTTCAAGCAAATCTCAAGATGCAGCTCACCAGCACCGGCGACAATGTGCTCACCAGACTCGGAGGTCATGGTCAGGACGCAAGGGTCCGACTTGGACAGACGCTTGAGACCTTCGACGAGCTTGGGGAGATCCTGAGCGTTCTTGACCTGGACGGAACGCTGGACGACGGGGGAGACGGAGAACTTCATGACCTTGAGGTTGTGGGCAGTGTCAGAAGTGGTAAGAGTACCAGACTTGAGCAAGAACTGATCGATACCAACGAGACCGACAATGTTACCAGCAGGCATGTCGTCAATGGCCTCGACCTTGCCGCCCATCATGAGAACGGTACGCTGAATGGCCTTGATGAACAGGTCCTCCTTCTTGCCGGGGACATAGTTGGGGCCCTGAATGCGGACCTTGAGACCGGAGCGGACGGTACCGGAGAAGACACGGCCGAAGGCGTAGAATCGACCCTTATCGGAGGTGGGAACCATCTTGGAGACGTACAACATGAGAGGGCCCTTGGGATCGCAGTCACGGATACCAATGGCGGCAGGGTCGTCAAGAGGTCCCTCGTACAAAGTCTCAGCGCGGTACTTCTGGGCAGTGACGGGAGAAGGAAGGTGGAGAATCATCATTTCCAGCAGGGAGTCGGCAGCGGGCAGGAAAGTTCGCATGACGACCTTGAGCAGCTGCTTGCCCTCCTTCTGGCGGTCATCAGTGTCCAACTTGAGGTTGAGCTTCTCAAGAAGCGTGGTGATCTCATCGTTCTTGAAGTTCATGACGGCATTGAAGATCTTGAAGATGGGGTCTAGGATGAACTGGTTGAAAGCACGCTCAAGCTGCTTGCCTTCGTATGTGCCGTTCTTGGTCCACTTCTTGGTGTGAGGGTTGAAGTAGTTGTCGCCCTAAAAGGTTGTGCTGCGTTAGTGGACTTGTTTCGAAGTTTGATGAGAGGAAGTTGTGCTTACCCAGAGACGCTCCATCATCTTGTTCTTGTCGACGCCAAACTTCTTGGCATATCGGATGGCGAACTGACGGACGGTGAAGGCCCAGCCGTGCAGACCAGAACCGAAAGCAATGGTACCCTTGTCGGGATAGACCTGGACGTCACCGAGGGTCTTGTCGAGGTAGGTGGAAATGATGACGTTGACGGACTCGATAGTACGGGAGAAGGACTGGTACAGATCCTCCTTGGAGACCTGAAGCTCGAGAAGAGCGCGATCGACCTTGTTGATAATGACAACGGGTTTGATACGCTCACCGAGAGCCTGACGGAGCACAGTCTCGGTCTGGACGCACACACCTTCGACGGTGTCGACGACAACGAGGGCACCGTCGGTGACACGGAGGGCAGCAGTGACTTCGGATGAGAAATCAACGTGACCGGGCGAGTCAATCAAGTTGATCAAGAAGTCCTGGCCATCGGTCTTCTGGCCAACAATGTCTTTGATGTCCTCGGGGTCGTCAAGATGACCATACAGGGAGATGGCGGTGGACTTGATGGTGATACCACGCTCCTGCTCGTCGGCACGAGTATCGGTTGCTCGTGCATCACCCGCCTTTGCGGTGGAAATGATACCGGCTTTGGCAAGAAGAGAGTCGGTCAGGGTAGACTTGCCGTGATCGACGTGGGCAATGACGGACATGTTACGGACATTGGAGGGCTTGTCCATAAGGGCCCGAATCTCGTCGATGGTGAAGCTATATTGTGGTGAAAAAAGTTAGCCATTGTCTGCAGCAATATGCAAGTTCTTTTGTTCGTTGGAAGCTTTTCTCTCTTTTCCCATCGTGACTCGGCCGTCTTGGATATTCTCACTGGGCGTCGCCTAAAGACTGCTCAGCAGCTTAACTCCGGGCGGGGTCAACCGCCAAAGCACACAAGCAGCGCCCGCCAAAAACGGACCAAGGGCAAGACACAAAAAGATCTGCCCGCCATTCCACGATCCCTGGTAACAATGCCGCCTCCAAAGATGCATGCCCAAAAAGAAGTCCTCCAGCACCATGTCAAGAAAGGCATCTATCACGCAAAATTGCACTTACTTGACCATTTTGGCGGTGTTGTTGAGGGCGACCTCGCTATTCGATTGTTGTTTGTAGGAGGAGAAAACTCGTTGCTGAGCAAAGCGGGGTTGAAGATTTTCACCCCGCGCTCAGGTTTTGTATTTTTTTGTATTTGGTTTGCTTAGGAAGCAAAGCCTAGTTGGCCACCCTAAAGATGACTCAACCACGGAACCAAAGGGTATCAAGGTGACGAAATGGAAAAAAAGAGAGACAGGCGGACTGTCAATCTTTTTCAAAAAATGGTCCCTTGGGCGGGTTTGGAGGTTGGAAAGGAAAGGGAGAGGAGTGCAGACGGCGAGGGAATACGGAAAATGTGGTGCGAAAAAAACCTGCGGGTGGGCCGCCATCCTGCTAGCTGGTCAACGGCACCTGGTCAACAGAGCCGTCTGTGTGCTCAATGTTCTCGGTCACTGTTAGCGCTCAATGGCCCTGCCATGGGTGCCCATCATTCTTTTCTGAGCTGCTGGCTAGTGTGAGCTGCGCCAGTTCAATGGTGCTCGCGGCCCTGCCCGCCTTGCCCGGCCCTGTTTGCCAGTCCTCTGTCCATGTGTGCTCAGAGCATATCTGGAAAGGCCCCTCCTGCAGCCCCACCATTGATGGACCAGACTTTAGAGCGCGAGCACCTGAGGCGGGTTGGCGGGGCAAAAACGACCCCTCCAACCCTCCAAGCTTGATGCTTCTCGTTATCCGCCACCTGCTCATGCAAGTTTGAGAGGCTGAAGAGGGCAACAGCCCTCCGCCCACCATTGTCACGCCGAGGGCTCCTAAAATGTATGTATTCCGTCAGTTTGAGGCGTGTCATGAAGCAATCTTCGGACACGGAGTCATTCGTACATTTGAAATTGTGACTACTTGATGTCCTCTGTTGCTTCTCATAACCACCGTCTGACTCTTCAATTTGCTGTTCACCGACTAGTACATACAATCCTCAATCCTCTTGCTCGGTGTCACTGAGCTATCTGCATCGCGAGACTGGAGCTGTGGCGAGAAGCTGAAACAAGCTCCCCATTCGCCACACCTAACTGTATGTGGCTGGTGTGGCGTAGAGCTGCTTACACAACAACACTCAAGCGAGCTCAAGCTCCAGTCAGCTCTGCTCAACTCCAAGCAGCCACCAGTTCTCCATCATCAACTTGAGTGTCAAAATACGACTTTCGACTAGCACCAGATTACAAATCATGGACACAGCCACATCTCATTTCAAAACTTCCAATGAGTCATACTGTACATATATATCT